CATTCCATGTTTAAGTTGGGATTTCAAACTGATGTGAAATAATGGACTTATTGGTAACTGATGTTAGGACTTTGAATCTCCTTCTAGAGGAAAAAATATATTCCTCAAAGGCACAAAAAATTATGTTCTACATGGCTGAAGATGCAAATGTATCAAGTAAAATAAGAAATATATTTAAGAAAAATTTAGAATTGGTTTATATCTTAAGTAGGAACATTTCTTAAGCAAAGCACAAAAGGCAAATTTGTAAAATATATATAATACGTCTAAAATTTCTGTGACAAATTCCATTTGAATCAAAATTTTTAAGAGTGGCAAAATGGGGGTATTTATGAATCCTGTAAATCAATAATATATAAGTAAGTAACCCATTTTTCTAAAACAGCAAAAACTTTGACTAAGCAATATACAGAAAGGAAATTCCAACTGGCCAAAACATATATAAAAATATTCAGGGAAATGCAAACTAAACAGTAATATAATACTATTCCACTTATCAACTTCATAAAAGTACAATTTTAAGTCTGTTCATAAAAAACTTTATGAGCACTGAGCAAAACTATCCACAAAGCATTCAGAAGTGTGTTTGTTGAAGACTCATTTAAATTTGGAAGATAGAAGTGATCTAAATACCTGACAATAGAACAGAAATAAGATGTGATATGTTCTTATTATGGAAAAGTAGACAGAAATTTAAATTTTGGCTCCATATGACACATCTACCATGATACAAATCACTAAGATCTATTTTGAGTATGAAAACAGATTTAGTCACAGGAAAAAACTGAAAATTATAGTGCCCTCATCACCCTTGAAGAACAGATGACCTCAGTACTATTTTATAGATACATAGATATCTATTTCCTCTCCAGGAAATAGGAATATTAGTTTTCATGGATTCTTCCAGCTGCAAAGAACTAATGTTTTAAAATCAAGTGATATATTAAATTATTTATCAATTAATTTATCAAAGTCATCAATTTTCCATGTTTTACAGTATTTATTCTTTTTATTATTGCTGTCTTTGTCAATTATTTGATCATTTTTTCAAACTTTTATAGTTTTGTATCATTGCTTTTCTATCTGAACTAGAGTACAAAACACCACTATTTCTCGTAGCCTCCTGTCCTAGCATCTAACAATCTCAAGTTTCAAGCCAGATTTCAAGAGAGCATTCCCCTTGTTCATTTCCTGTTCAAACAGACCTCTTAAAATCATTTTGTAAACTATTAAAATGCCAATTTTGACATGAATTAGAAGCCCATAAAAGTTATAAAAGAAATAGTTACCAAGGAGATACATTTTTAGAACACATATTTATGGAAAATATAATTTCCTAAAAAAAGAAGCAGATAAGGATTGATTATTCCATAGCTACTCAAAGAACTAACTTTACTTAGACTCAGGCATTCAAAAGCATAAAAGGAAGAGAAAAAAGATGGAAAAGGAAAAGAAAAAATAAGAACTCACATATTGAATATCAGTTCATTCCAATCAATATCTGAAGGGAAATCCTTGTCTTCTTGAACTCATGCCAAAAGACAAAAAAAAAAATCTATTCTAAATCAAATAGATCTCTTAGGGGAGAAAGGCAATGAAAAAAAGTCTCATGCTTTGTATCCAGCTTTCAAATTATATTTAAAATAAATATATTTTGAAAATTAACTTTCTCTATACACATAAAAGGAATGAGCATTACATCACAAACTGCAGGGGAAACGCACAAAGCTCTCATCTTTTTTCCCTCCAACACAGTAATGAGCAGCAAGGTACTGCTCCCTCAGTGCACAGGGCTTGGAGGCACCTGGGGAAGCTGCAGTCAGGAGTATTTAAGGGCATGAGAGGACCGGGGTGCCATCTCACAGGCAATCCCCATGGTGATTCTTGGACAAGACCAGTGAAAAAAAACTGGTGATTTTAATTTGCTCTTGCTTCGACTTTTCAAGTGTGCTGTCAAAGAAATCCTTTTAAATTGCTTCAAATATGTGATGTTAAGTATTAAATGTAAGTTTTATGGTCAGTGACCAAATGGTCTTAAAAGTAGCTTTATTACTTTCTATGCAGAAATAAACCCTAATACACTAATTATATTTCTTAAGAGCCTCCTTTTGCTTCCATGTCCAAGGCTAATATTTATTAACTAGAGGCCCGTTGCACGAAGATTCGCGCAATAGGTCTTCCTTCCCTTGGCTTCCAGCACTGGTTTTCCTCTGGCAGCCAGGACCCAGGCCTTTGGTCCAGCTGCAGCAGAGAAGCCAGGCCTCTTCAGTCTTCAGTTGTCTTCAGTCTTCGCTCTGTGCCTGCATATGCAAATTAACCCGTGGGCAGCATCTGGCAGTGGTGTCTGGTGCTGCCCACCCGCCTCCCCAGGTCCCCGGTGACAGTGGTGTCTGGTGCTGCCCACCCGCCTCCCCAGGTCCCCGGTGACACAGGCCCCAGCCCATGCAACCCATGCCTCCAGCTCTGTGGCCGCTGCCATCTTTGTTGGGTTAATTTGCATACTTGCCTCCAGCTCTGTGGCCGCTGCCATCTTTGTTGGGTTAATTTGCATACTTGCCCTGATTGGCTGGTGGGCATAGCAGAGGTATGGTCAATTTGCATGTTTCCCTTTTATTAGTGTAGAAGAGACTTGGCACACAAAATTTATGTGGACTTATGGTCCCTAGGCCTGGCCTGTGATCAGGGCCATCTTCCACAGTTGCCCTGCAGCTGGCCCTGCCCCCCACCACCACCCACCCCCTGGTTCTCCATTCGCCATTGGGTGATCAGTGCCTGATAGACAGGGGAAGGGACCAAGACGTGGTCAGTGCTCCTCATAGTGACTGGTCCAGTGGTTGTTCTGGTCATTCTGCCATTAGGGTCAATTTTCATATTACCCTTTTATTATATAGGATAGAAGCCTGGTGCATAGGTGGGGGCTGGCTGGCCTTCCCTGAAGGGGGCCCCAGTTTGGGGTGGGGGGCATCCAATGTGGGACAGGGTCAGCCTGGGCAAAGGGCCACGGGTGATTTGCAGGCCAGCCATGCCCCTGGCTTTGTCAGGAAGGACATCTGGAAGACATCCGTTCTATCTGGTCTAATAAGAATATTACCCTTTTATTAGTATAGATGTTGACGGTGCTCAGCTTTTTCTTAACATGCTTAAGGTCAGACTTAAATGTCCCTATTTCCACAAAGCCTTTCCTCATTATGTTGTCTTTCCTATAACCGCATTTCATACCCCAAGTTATCCCATCGCACTGCCAGTACCTAAATGACCCCACTTTCCATTTTCACAGGTTTCCATTCTCACACAGAGAAATTATCATCTTTTTTTCATGCTAAAGAAGTTCTAAAGTTCCTGGTATGACAAAATTTAATACAGATTTAGTAATCTTAATATAATTTAGTAATTTATAAATAGAAATGGAAGTTCCAAATTTAAAACAAATACTCATGTTGACTTTTCTATGTAGATAAAAATGCAAATAAGACAACATTGAAATCAGAAAGATTCTTAGTGATCATGTAATTAGAGACAATGATATTGACAGATGGTGACAAAAGGTGTTATCCATCTCTATTGCATTAATATATTTTTCATCCAAATATCTCAGTCTCTCTGAAGTTACTGTCTTTTCTGGATTATATTAAAACTCACTAAAAATAATTCATACTTGTGATGTAACTATTCTGCTTTACCCTAAAAATCTTCCTCTGATTATAACATTTTTGTCTTTAATTTGTTATTATTTTGAAATTCTCTACCATCAACTACTGTCTCCTTTACTTCTAACCCACATAAATATATCTACCTTAATTTGGGCCACTATGTGACAATCATAATAACTCAATGTTATGAACAAGTTACCATAATTGATATGATTAAGAGAAAACTTAGTACTTCCCAAAAATTCAAAGGGATCATTTTTGGAGGGAAAAAAAAGTAGTTTTCAGAAAAAGAATAATGAGTGCAACCTCAATAGCTAAAAGCTTTAAAAAAAAAAACTCCTTCAAAATGTGAACTTTCTCACCATGTTCTGTCACTGTACCAAAAGGATCTAGGTAAACATGAGAAAAATTTAAAATATTATCCCAAGAACTAAAGGGAGATTAACTAGATTATATATATATATATTGTCCCTTAAAACATGAAGATTCTACTATTATTTTAATATGATGCTTTCTTCTGAGTCAGGAAGAACAAGCAAGTTGAAGGTCTATGCTCAGACATTCAGAACACAGTGTCTAATAAATGAGACACTAGGAAGGAGAGCCTGCTAAACGATGGACATAAGTACATAATGTGTAAGTATAAACAGAACACTACAAGCCAACATGAAGCAGGGCAGGGAAAACACCAGGTCAAAATCACAGTGACAGTAGGCAGGCAAGAGAGGCAGGGAACAGTGATGGCTGTTTGTTCCTGGGCTGTATCTTCTTCTACTTAAAATTGACTGGAGTCCTAGCTGGATAGCTCAGTTGAGTAGAGGTCATCCCCATACTGTAAGGTTGTGGGTTTGATACTCAGTCAGGGTACATAAAAGAATCAACAAATGGCCCAGCCAGCATGGCTCAGTGGTTGAGCCTCACAGTTCAATTCTTGTTCAGGGCACATGCCTAGTTTGCGGGCTTGACCCCCAGTGTGGGGCATGCAGGAGGCAGCCGATCAATGGTTCTCTCATCATTGATGTTTCTATCTTTTTCTCCCTCTCCCTTCCTCTCAAATCAATAAAAATATTTATTTTTAAAATAAATCGGCCGATGAATGCATAAATAAATGGAACAACAAATCAGTTTCTCTCTCTCTAAATCAATAAATAAAAATAAAAAATATATAAATAAATATAACTGACTTGACACCACCCAGTATATGTGTGCACATTGCCTTTCTTCCTGAAGAAATTAATTCTAATGCCCCAAGTTAGCATTATATTAACTCCACAATAAGAAGATAATATTCTCTGTAGGCTTCTTCTAGATCAGTCCAAACTATGAAGAAAAATTTGCAAGTTCCAGTCATCATTTGTCATCTGAGACGAGCTTCTTGCTCCAGAACTTTCTCATGGCATTTTTCACCTCTGCATTCCTCAGTGTATATATCAAAGGGTTGAGCAAAGGTGTTCCAAGTGTATAAAACACAGCTATCATCTTATCCAGGGGGTAAGTGGTCGCAGGGCGGGTGTATATAAAAATGCAGGGACCAAAGAACAAGATGACCACGATGATGTGGGAGACGCAGGTGGAGAGGGCTTTTCTCCTCCCTTCAGCACTGTGGTTTCTCAGAGAACGCAAGATGACCACATAGGAGAACATCAACATGACAAAACTCACTGTACAAATGGTCCCACTGTTGGACACCAAGAGAAGATTAATCACATAGGTGTCCGCACAAGCAAGTTGCAACAAGGGCTGCAAGTCACAAAAATAGTGATCAATTACATTGGGGCCACAGAAAGGTAAACTCAAGGCCAGAAAAACCTGAGCTAAAGAATGCACACAGGACCCCACCCAGGCCACAGCCACCAACACGCCACAGATGGTGACTCATGATGGTCATGTAGTGCAGGGGCTTACAGATAGCCACATAGCGGTCAAGGGCCATGAGGATCAGGCAGCCAAAGAAATGGAATGAAAAGACTTGGACTATGCACTCATTGAAAGAGATAGTAGTGTTCTTCAAAAGGGCGTCCACAATCATTCTAGGGGCTACGGAGGTAGAGAAGCAGGTATCAGATAAGGACAAATGGAAAAGGAAGAAGTACATTGGACTCTCAAGGGTCCGGCTGGTCTTGATAGTAGTAATAATCAGAAAGTTCCCCAGCAACGTCCCCAAATAAAAAAGCAAGAAAGTGGCAAACACTATTTTCTTCCTAACAGGATCCTGGGTCAATCCAAGCAGAATGAACTCAGTCACATTATTATTCAGCTGCATGATTTCATGAAAGAGGACAAGGGTGAGTGTAAGATATTTTATCTGCAAAAATAATAATGATAAAGGAATTAATTCATGACATAATATGTGATTTTATGAAATATCTTAAGAAAAATAAATATTCCTCATCATGGACATTGTAGCTGTGGTTTCTTATTATGTCATCTCAACTCTTTGAGCCTGAATTTGTAATGACTACTTTATAGGGTCCTATGAGTCTCAAGTAAGCTTGTGAATTTTGTACCTTCCTATAGTACCCTTTAAATACAACTCTCCTGTGGCAGCCTTTGGTGATCATTTTGTGAAAAATGAAATTCTCTCTCCAGTTCTCTAAAGGCTCGCTTTGCAGCTTTTCTTATATTATTACATACTATGCTGAAATTCAGTTAGCTTCCTTTTTGGAATAAGAATCTTTGGAAACTACATATTCTCTGGATTATATTCTCCATCATGCCAAACCCAATGCCTTGTGCCATGTAGGTGCTTAGAGTGTCTTTACATTGAACTTTCTCTATTACCTCTTAAAATATCATACCTGATTGTTTTAGTACTATTCTAATTAGAAAACACATTCACATCATTAATCTAATGTGGCCTCCTCCTACCTATTATGTATAGTAGACAGATAAACATGCTCCCAACTTATAAATAATTTTTTTAAAAAACCTGAGATCAACTTTAAATAAGTTAGTAAGTCAGCTCCACACCCTGGAGTAGAATAGCCCACACAGCCAAGAAAGACTTGGGGATTTGGACACCCAGAGAAAGGATTACCTTAAGCATCTGACGTGTTTTACATGAATCCTTGGCCTTGAAAGAATGCAGGGAGAGCTTTGATACTATTCCTATCTTCCCGACACTGATGTTTGTTTTAGTGCTTGTCTTTGTGGATGACCACATTCACTATTTCCAGATGTGTGTTAACACCTTTCATCTTGGGTTCTGAAAGGAACTTGTAACAAAAATGGGTAACAATGATCTGGAGGCAAAACCACACTAGCAAAATAGAACATCTTCTAATAACTTACCTGAACTTTCCAAGCAAGTTTAGCCAACTTTAGAATAGCTAAGTATGTTGAAACCATAATAAACAGACCATGTGTTGGGTTGGAGATAATGGGGAAGAGCTTAAAGGAAATAAGCTGGGAAAAGGTGGAGAATAGATGAGGATGGAACACAGAGACTTTCATCCTAAAAGTCCGTTTTATTGCAGAGGCCACAGTGAGAATCAGTATTTTCCTTAAGGACTCTCTCTTAAACTACTCAACCCTCCCTGGCTCAGTTCTACTGCACTTCTATCTTAGGGAGAACCCCTATGCTCATATTATTTCTATGCAAAATTTACCATTCTCTGTGGGAAAATTAATAGATTGTACCAAAATTTTTTATCCCTCAAAATCCCAGGTTAAAGAATGATAAAGTCTCCCTCCCATGCATATGACACATTACTTTTCACCTTCATTATAGTTTTTAACCTTCACATTGTCCGGTTTCTCTAAACTTTCCATGAGAAGCAGTTGTTCAGCTTTTCATACTAAATCCCAAATGCACATCAACTGCAAATATGTTCTTATGATACAGTATTAGCAGCATGCAAAGCAGAATAATTCCAGACTGGGATTTACAATCTTCCATTTAAAGCTGTCACCTGGAGATGGAAGAGGTAGCATTCTCTAGCAGCTATGTCAGGCCCCTACCTCTATTAACACTTTCTCTAACTTCTAACTAGACATATTCTCCTTTAACTTGTAATACCCGTAATGAGGATGTATCTTGCTCAGCTACTGGACATGAAAAGCATTGTAAACTTTTCTGCACTCTGCCATCTCAAGAAACTCTAATAAACCTTAGGCACGGAATTCATTTTTCTCTCCCCACACAATGATGGATTTTCTCAGGCCTAGTGCTCATAAAACATTTGTTGAATTCAAAAGGTTGTGTTATATCAAAACTTATTTTCATTCTACTTATTTACTACATTAACAATAAAATTTCTAAAACATGTTTTTCTTTTCCTGTCTCAGAGGAAGTACGAGCAGTATAAGACATATAGAAATATATTTTCAAATCACGTTGGATTGTTCTGTAATAATACTCCCCTGACTATAAAGATGTCAGTCATCTGTCACTTACCTGTTAGAACACTCTAAGTCAGTGTCAAGTATGTCCACCCCTTTTGGAAAGCAGGAAGAAGAAACAACAGTGTCTTAGGTGAAAGAGGAAGTGGAACGTCAAGAAACTACTCTGCTCCCATTGAGTGCCCTTAGCTGTCCCTCCATGCATTAGGAGACAAAAACTCTTCTTGTTCTTATCATTATTTGAAGATATAATCCAGGGAAGGCAGTGTGGTGCCTGAAGCCAGAGGTTCAATCCTTACCCAATTTATCTGTATCATATTTGAAGAAAAAAATTAGAACACTAAAATAGACTGGTGTCCTGTGAGAGGAAGACAGTTTCTTTAAAGCAGAAACTTTCCCTTGTGCATTAAATATTATTAAAATATGTGATCTAGAAAGTTAGGTTTGAGGTATATGATTATGCCTCTGTTAATAAAATGTATATTTATAATAATGTTTCCATCTATATCTACATACCTATGTTAATTAAAGGTGACTTTCAGAGGTTCGGAGAGCCATGAAAATAAAGGATCTTAGAGTATTACATGATATCATAAAGTTCTTCGTTCCCCAAAGTTTAGCCTGAGCTCAAAAGCCTAACCAAGTAAAATAAGAACTTCTGTTTGGAAAATGATCATGAGATGTATCATCTTTACTCTCTTATTGCTGTGCTACCCTGCTATATAAATAGATGAACTTCCAGAATCTTGAGCCCCAAGTGGATCTGGTATCTTCCAATGGCAGACCTTGTCGGCAGGTACTTTTGCCTACAAGAAATTACTTAGAAGTGAAGAACTAAAAAAAGACAGCCTAATTAAATGTAAATTTACCTTAACCCTATATTGTAATTTAATCATCCAATATGAGCATGTGGGGGGAGGGGAGATAAATAGGTGAGCACAGAGGATTCTTAGGGCAGTGAAACTACTCTGTATGACACTATAATGATGGATGTGTGTCATTATATACCAGTATTTGTCCAAACCCATAGAATGTCTAGCACCAAGAGAGACCGCTAAGGTAAACTATGAACTTGGATGATTATGAGGTGCCAATGTGGGTTCACTGAGGGTAACTAATGTACCACTCTGATAGGGGACATTGATGATGGGGGGGGGCTATTCAGATGGGGGGGCACAGGGTAAATGGAAAATCTCTGTACCTCCTGCTCAACCTAAAAAATGCTCTAAAACATAGTCTTCCATTTAAAAAATACAATGTGATTTATTAGTTGATATATAAACTTTTACACACATATGCCAAATATTTCTCTAAGGTGTAATTTTTGGGGGTCATAAGCTATATTGAGGTGATGACAATAATGTATTCTTTAGGTCAGCCTTAGTTACAGATGCCTTGGACTCCAGCCCTGCCTTTGGCTCATGAAGCAGGGAAGGGAAAAGTGTATTCCCTGACGTACATGGCAAACTGTGGTCAGCATCACCTTCCAACATGGTCTCTTGGTCTCCGAGGCTGATGCAATGCTTTAATTATGTAGAATGCTTGGTGCCAAAACCACTTCCACACTAACAGGCACTTCTGTCTATCCACTCCCCAGTGATAACTTCTAGCAACCAATGGTTCTTGGCAAGAAGCTTTAGCAATAAATCTTACCATTTAGCTACTGAAAATGGCTCCTACTAGCAGATACAATTCCCCAACATAGTGAGAGAATTCTCTGAAGACATTACATCAGCCACCTTGAATGGCATCTTTATCTCCAGTACCTTGTCCATCACGAACTGTGGCTGAGGCCTCTTTCCTTTTCTCTCCATCCATGAGTGCATGCCAACCCTCTGCCCTCACAAAGAACATCTTTCTAAGATCACACTCCTCACCCTTCCACACCCTTCCACACTCTGAGCATGAGCACAGCACCAACTTCACATTCAAAACCTGTGGGTCCCTTTGAAGTTTCCATGGCACCTTGTCAATGTGTGGACAGTTGTTTCTCAAATTTGAGTATTTTGCAGAGGCTTTTAATAAAAATGCTGTAAAGGTCAGCTTTGACCTTGGTGTTCAGCCAAAATTATTTAACAGCCTAAACTTCAGCATTTAAAAGGCTGAAGAGCCCAATGCCTACGTTAGTGTCATTTCTGACATCTCTGCCTGTCAGGGATATGATGGCATATGTTACGGTCATATCCAATCTGCAACTCCACAGTCCATGTATCCTGTTCTACCAATAAAGTGAATAAAGGATGCTTAGGATGGTTAGTGATAAAGGACCACATGTGCTAGAGGACTCTTTCCACCTTTCTTTTTATCTTTGAAATCCCAATAACTTCTTCTCTTTCCTCATTCTCAACCAATCTCTTTCTACTTCACAAAGACACCTTGAAGCAATCAGAAAAGAATTTCTACAAACTTGCTTCACATCCTTTGTCCACCCTCCAGCATTTGTGGCCTCATATTCAGACTTCCTGCCTGTTGTGGTAGAATCTTGATCCCTATAAGCTAGCTGTTCTGCGACCTAAACGCAACACTCCTCTTGGAAAAGTTGCTATGGAGAGAATTCTCCCCTCTCTGCAGAGGAGAGATTATTTGACTTGAGCACCACCTCATTGGAAGATCAACTACTTTTGCCATTAATTTTTCCCCTTCATAGTAAAATATGTTGGAAGAATTTGATATATTTTCTTATTTATTATACTAGAGGCACAATGCATGAATTTGTGCACCAGTGGGGTTCCTCAGCCTGGCCTGCGGGATCAGGCCAAAACCAGCTCTCTGACATCCCCTGAGGGGTCCCAGATTGCAAGAGGGTGCAGGCCAGGCTGAAGGACCCCACCAGTGCGCAATAGGGGCCAGGGAGGGACACAGAGGTTGGCCAACTAGGGAGGGACTGCGGGAGGGCTCCAGGGCGTGTCCAGCCTGTCTTGA